ATGCTGTAGAGCCTAAGAAACTTCTAGGTAAATGATCATAAATGCTGAAACCTTCACTAAATGAGAATTCATTCCCCTTGACATTGATTTCACCTACAGATTACATGGCAAACTTTACTTTCTCAGATAAAGGAAAAACTTCGAAAGAGACTGAAGTAACCTTGACAGATTGGTGAACAGTATCGTGATACGGCACGCCATTACGTTGACATTGGATCCACTCATAACGTTTGTATTTGATAAAGCGGTAGAAAGAGGACTGTGAAGGTGGATGAGTCTGCGAAGCTGGCGGATTAATGGATTTGGCGAAATTTTCCTCCGCCAAAGCTTCTGCAGAAAATAGCTTATGTGATATGGGACGTAGAACAGTGGATAGCCATGACCATGCAAAATGTAATCTCTCAGGCTTTCACTTCTCTCAAATCTTCTGGCGTCATTTTTGAGACTTTCACTTCTCTCAAATCTTCTGGCGTCATTTTTGAGAAACTCCAAGTGTTCCCAAGCACATGGGGTGTACAAAGAAGGAAGCAACCGAATCCCAAAAGCTGTGCAAGTCTTCGATCGGTCAGGTCACCATCAACCATCAAGTTGTGTGTCTCACTGTGAGGACGGTAAAAAACCTCTAATTAAGTTGTTGTGTTCTTTCAAAGTCGTCCGCAGTTGAACTAATAAATCGTTGCATTTCAAGTGATGCTAATGGGCCAAAGAAACTTCTAGGTAAATGCGTCATAAATGCTGAAACCTTCACTAAATGAGTCTTTAAAAACTTGTACGGCACCGTCGAAACCAAGACTAATAGTACGATTTGCAAGTCCTTCATAGGTTTCCCATTCATATTGACATAGGCCTTAATGATCTGATACAGTGAAGAAAACCCGTTGTGGCTGGATGACCTCACCGAGGAGACTTGCTACGCTCTCCGGGAACCCCGACTTTCCCGAAATCAGGCGTCGAGTACGTAGCAAGTACGCTAGGCGTCACAGGTGCAATTGCGTCCAGCCATTTTCGGATGTTGTCTCCTTTGCTTAGCTCGCTCAGCGGCGCGGAATCCCATCCTGCTACGCGTATTAATCCTACTCGTTTTAGGGATCGCAGAGGCAACAATTACACCACTTTCGCGGCGCAAAAACGAGTGAGGAGGCCCACGATGCCGTCGTTCTTCTCATTGGCCCAACCTACAATCATTGGCACCGCCCTCCACTCATTCCTAATGGTTATCTGATGGTGCGGTTGTTTCGCTGCTGCTTCTCTCCACGTCGAGTGGTGAGAGTGAGGTGATAAGGGAAAACAGCTGATATCAACGAGTGAGAACTCGTGTGTCAGTGAAATTTGGCACAGATGATAAAAACTCTTTATAATCACAGCCGTGAAACTAGTAAACAGTTCAGCACATTTTCTTTGGAAGCACCCATCCGAACAAAAAAGGGAACCAGCAAGCTGCTGAGCTGGAACGGATCGGTTTATTTCAAACAGATGCCAAGTGTTCTAGCTCAAAATACAATCCAAAATACAATCACATGCGAGCTCAACAGATCTACAACCTTGAACTTGAAATATACTATACTAGTCCAGCATTTTTCGCTAATGCGTAAAACAACGACATCTTGTTTGCGACAAGCTCAGATGGGTTGTCAAATTCACAAATACGACCTCCGTCCAGTACTATTATCCTGAAACTAGTGAATCGATGTCATTAGTGATATAGCGCCTAAATACTGCTGTTAGGCTGGCCCAATTGAATTTGGAAGTGGGCTTTATTTTTTAACATCTTGGCAAGACAAGAAAAGTGGTGGAATTTTCAATAACTCGCGAATAGTGCCCGCTTTTATAAAGATTTGCTCCGATCTCGAAGTCGTTCCAGACCACTCTGCATAACATAACCTTCAATTCGAATACCGCGCTTGCCTTTGAGCTCGAACAAGTTAGCGACTGGCAACAGAACGGAGTGGTATGCAGGGCACAGCATTCGATGGGGATTTTGGTCGAAGCTTTTACGACCCCCTTTTTTCAGGGGCTGGTACGACCGCTCCTCCCCCCCCATTGCTCCTACGATGTACGTCGCACGCTATGACATGACACTGGATGCGCTGACTGTGCGTTGTTTGCGTTTATACCGGCGAAAAGGTTTTTGTCGAGCGGGGGAGGATATGTACTAAGCCATGCGACGACATCGTACGGGCGTACATAGTGCCTATAACACAGAAAATTCATAAAACTCATGAAGTGAACCACGTAACTCCTAGCCAGAAATACGACCCCCCCCCCTCCAAAACGTCCGCAAAGCGAGAAAAATCAACTATAAAAATAAATTTTTCCCAGCCCAAATACGACCCCCCCCTTTTGGCGGCCTCATACGACCCCCCCCATAGGGAATCCCCATCGAACGCTGTGCCCTGGTGGTATGTCAGGAGCTGTAAACCAAATCAGCATTCATAACAATCGCAAGGGGTACTGTGGGCGCGAATAGGGTTGGTCAGCACCGCTCACGAAATCTTTTTTGACAATATACCTAGCTCGTGTGCTTTTTGGGGTCTGGCATTTATCAAAGAACACAATGGTTTAGACTCCCAAAAGGTCTTTCTGAGCGACCACGTTTTTAGTTTTCTGTTCTAGCTTGGCTTGATGATTTTCTCCTCTCTAAAATGAACATTCTCTAACAATGGTCCTCTTTTAGTTACACAAGTACAATGCTGTTCCTCGAAATCTAAGACTACTGATAGCATTCCCTTCCCGCCTCAGTTTAATTCCATAGTACGCTTGGTATTCACTCTTCCGAAAAAAGTCGGGTTCAGAGCTGATTCTTATGGGAGCGCATGTGGGAACAAACACCCTGCAGTTGATGGCGTCGCAATCAGCCGGGGCGATTTCAATAGGGGTGAAAAAAGCCCATCCGCAACCTTTCTATCATTGGCTTGGATACCCCCAAATAGCTAAGGCGGCCTTATATTAGGTTGTCCGGAAAGTTCTCAGCGTTTTGTGTTACTATTTTTTGTACATTCATTGCTGATTAAAACTCATTCTCCCTTGCGTCTCAGTAGTACATCCTGAAGAGAATTTTTTGCGCTATCTGATGGTATAATTGCCGTTTCACCATTGCTTGATAAACCCCCTTTTTTCCAAGACTTTTTGAAGCATGTCAAAAGAGCAACTTCGGACGATATTTTTCTTCAACTACAAATTGGGTCAATCCGCAGTCGAGACAGCTCGACAACCAGGTGTGGGGGCCCAATAGTGTTGGAGAAAGCACCGTGCGACAATGGTTCGACAAATTTCGTTCTGGAGATTTCAGCCCTCGTAGCGGTCGACCTAAAGCAATACCTGACGAGGATTTGAAGGCGTTTGTGGAGGCTGACCCATCC